AAGAAAAAGAAACGGCCACTGGAACGGCAAATAAATGAATTACTAGATGAAATTAAAAGGAGCAATGCCGTTTCTGAAGAATTGGAAAAGAAATCAATAAAAATTGCAGAGGAAGGACTGCAACTACAGAGAGAGAGCATAGAGTTACAAAAGGAGATTTTATCTGCAATAAAAATGTCTAATTAAAATTTGAATATTTATGATTTGAAATAAAAATCATTTTTATTGTATATGATTGTTTATTTTCCTCAATTGAAAATACATCTTTGATGATTGCGGGAGGACTGCAGTTATAAAGTTTATTTTCCTGACTTTATAAATGAATAAAACTACAAACACTAGACAAAATTTCAGTCAAAGTAATTTATTTCAGCTTAATGTTTGAGTATATAAATTTTATAACAGTCTCCTGATTTTCAAGAGCTTGTTTAAAAAGAATTTGCAGTTACAAGGAGTTTCATTTAACACTCAAGTTATGAGGACTGCTCACATAAAAATTAATTTATATTAATGATTTTAGAACAAACAGATTGCTAATATTAAATAATATATAAAGTTCTATGTCAAAATTTAAAGTACAACTATATTCTAGTGAACTTTGAGTATTGTCCTGTAATAAATCTTGTTTTGAGAACTTAATTTAAAATCCTTATAATCTTAATCTTCATCCCTAAAACTTCTTGCAATAGCATTTCTAATTGAAATAGCTTTGGTGTTGTTTATCCCTATAACATAAATTCTCTCTAATAAACTATCAGACTGATTTATTTAATTAAACCATGTTTTCTCTATTGTATCATCCCTCCTCTCACACAAATTATGTAATATACAACAAGTTTTATTTATTTGTTTTGATATATCAATCCTATTATCCATTCGTTTAGAAAGTCTTGGAAATCTTGCTTTTAATCTTCCAAAGGCATTTTCCACTACTCGTCGAGCTCTAGATAATCTAAAATTGAATATTTTTTCTATTTTATCTTCTGTTTTACATGGAAATGGTTTCATTAAAGTTGTCTGTAAAGGAAAAGCAGAGTCACCAATAATTAAAGGTGGCACAATTTCTCCACCAATTCTTTCCCCTAATTATAAGGAGTTTATATTTTGTAGGCATGTTAAAAGAGAGTGAGAATATTTTTTAAATGCGTGCATCATTATTCCTTCCAGGAGATCCTACATTTATATATGTAAACATATTTGGCATCTGTAACAGCAAGGAGGACCACAGAATATTATCCTTTATAGTTGTAATAGTCAATGCAGTCTTTTTTTTTGGTGGTGAAATAGGAATGTGTGTTCCATCGATTAATCCAAAGCATTGTGGAAAATTCCAAATTATTAAGTCAATTTCATTTCTAGTCTGTGGAAACTGGATAGCGGTAGACATTAAATTATAACTGCATTGCAAAAGTCTATAACAATTTTACAAACCGTGGATTTTCCTACACCAAATAGACGTGAAATAGTCCTATATTCAGACGACGATGCCAACGTATATATACCAATTGCTACTCTTTTATCTGTAGAAATACATCGTCTCATTATTTCTTTTCATTTCAGGTAATGCAGCACATAAGAAATTAATCGTTTCTCTAGAAACTCTAAAGTTTTCACGCCAATTTATTTCATCCATTGCAGGAACACACTCTTTCCACCATTTCTGATTTCTTGGGATCTTCAAATTCGATCACTAGGAAGCGTAGAACAAATCATGGCTACAACACACGAATTTTCTTTTGCTCGTCGTCGCCATTTAAATGCTTATGTTCGTGTCAAACGATACTCTTCTCTGTTAGCGTGTGTACGCTGCTTCAATAAAAGAAGTTTAAATAATAATATAACTTTCTGTCAAGAATCCATTCTTATCACAGCTCTGTCACTAAAGTGATAATTACCCAGTGTGAACAAGTAGTTAAACTTGTTTTCGGCAATGCGGCTTAACTTAATTCCGCTTAAATCTTAATCCCGCTTAAAATATACAGTGTGAATAGGGTATAACACTATATTAACAATTCTTCTATAGTGATAGTCGTATAGAATAGGACTTAAAGTGGCAGTTTACTGTTCTGGGGGATTCGGAATCCAATTCTGATGATCGAAAATACCAGGAAACTGTCCATCCACTATTGTAGGGCCAGGTTGAATTAATAATTGGCTGGCTAAAAAGAAACCCTATTAGTGTCCTCGGGGTAGAGAGTGTTAAAAAAAACATTTAAAATTAATTTATTTCCATCCAATTTTATTTAATAATAAAATTAAGCGGTGAAACTGAATTATCTCTACGGGAAAACCTATGTAAACTGTGACCTATTGATCCGAAACTTTTGCCAGCACCTCAGTAATAAGGAGAAAGGTTAAATTAAATGTAATCAACACAAATTATAAAGGAAAGGAAGTAATTTTTCTCTATCTCAGTAAAATTAAATAGAGGAAATTCAATTAAGTCGAACATTTGATTTCTTTCATTGATAACACTTTTATAAATACTTAAACTTACATACAATTAATTAAGACGACATATCTACTCCAAAGATGAATTTTTTAATTATATTTTCAGTGATTTTCTCTATTATTATAGGAGATATTTATGGAAAGAGTTTCGATTTCGAGCAATTGTTGAGTAAGTATATTTTATAATTTCGCTTCAAATTAATTGTAATAAATCTTAATTATTTATCAAGTTAAAATTTACCTACATAAGATTTTGTTCATTTCTTCCTCCTAAGAATATTAACATTATTTTAACAATAACTATAAATATAATAAGATTTAATACACTTTGGCAGAATTATCTACGATTAAGAAGAGAGCTGAAGAAAATATCTTGGAAAATATACTGGATATTGAATTAGATCCCACACCATGCCCCGTTATTGAATGTCTGATAATAACAGATAGTGCCTACGCTGCAAGATTTGATACAGAAGAAGAAATTATCGATTATATAAATGATCTAATTAGTGCAGTAAGCTTTAAACTCTTTATTTCTTGCGTAATTGTACACATTCAATTGTTTATTATATTAATTTTATTGCGTTTCAGACACAAAATATTCTCGATGGATTAGAACTTAATATAACACTTCGTTTGATTGGACGTATCTCCTACTATACAGTAAGTTAAACAATGTTAAAAAATACCATTTATTTTTCTGTTTTTGTTTATTTGTATTAACATTTCAGAACGAAACCGAACCAGATTTCATTAAAAAGAGCCTGTATACAGAAAGACCCCGTACCATTATTGCTAACGAAGTCATTGTTAATATGCGTGATATGGAGAAGTTTCCCATTGTAGAAAAAGCCGATATTATTGTTGTGCTTAGTGGGTAAGAATGAATAAAGAATTTCTACTTGAAACATTTATTTCTTAATTGTTTATTATTACTGTTTATTCCATAGAAAATCTTTACTGTTTTGAATGTAACATGCTATTGTTACGTAAAATACTGTAAAGCATACATCCGAATTGTTTCCATATTTTCTTATATTGCAATATGCTTTTCAACAATATAAATGATTTTTTAGTAGGGTATATGATCTCTCTATCAAAAGCCAAAACTGTTCTACGTACATCTGTGTGTCAAGGTATATTTGAGGTTTTCAACGAGGTATTGAAGAACTTTTTGCCATACCTCATTAAGAGCTTTCACAAACTTTCCTAATTGTTTTAAGTATTGTAGTTAAATATATAGGGAGATGAAATGTATTATTTTCTCTGTTTTCTTGTAACAAGAGTTAAGAAATGTACTTTTGTTGCAGACGTCAAGTATTTTCATCTCGTCCAAAACCAGGAGAAGGACTAGGAGGAGAAATCAATGGTAGTAAATTTAGCATTTTTAATTACGTTATTCACTTCGAGAAGATTTCTAATTTCATGTTCTTTTAAAAAAAAAATTTTTTTGAAGGCATGGCTTGGGTGCAAGGTGTTTGTAATTCGGTCTTAAAATTTGCGATTGTCAGCGATGACCGTCATCTGTCTTGGACAATTGATACGTTTGTTCACGAAGTAGGACATCTGTAAGTAATTTCTCCAAGTATTTTTCAATCCTAACAACATTTTTCAATAAATATATGATGCTGTAGAATCAATGTTGGTCATTCCGACGTGGAAGAAGGATTAGAAGGTTGCTCTTCCGTGATATTACCCGGAGAAAAATATTCTTCTTGCTCTAAGAAAACCGTAAAAGAACATTTAAAGTAAGTGTTTTTTTTATACTTTTATTAAATCTGAAGTTAATTTATAATAAACAAGTTAACGCTTCAATTTTGTTTTCTACAGCTCACCATCCGGTGCCTGTATGTTCGATAATTGTGACAATAGCAACAAATGAAGATTGAATTTTTACACGTTCATCGATCCATAAGAATTGTTTTTTATAGTAAAATAAAATTGCAATTAATTCAACGGATTTTATGTATTAAATATAAATATTTCATAATGTTCTGAATAATAATGTAATTATGTTTAACTCTAGAATGCGCTATTAATAAAGCTTTTTGCCCTTTTATAATAATTTTTAAAATGGAAATGATTTTTGTAATAAAGAAAAACAATTGTAAAGGCTAATAACGAGTAAAATCATCATTAAATCCGACCCTACTCCAGATATAACACGTGACTCCCCTTTATTTCCTCACCCCCTGGACTTTACCCACTAAAATTTACTAACACCAATCTCCTAATACATAAAACTTCCCCCAAAATTTACGATAAAAAGCACAGGAATTATTAAGCTTCAAAGTGAGTGAAGAAACTCCGCACATACAGAAAAAAAAATCCCCTAACAAATAGTGCAAAACCAGCGTAAAACCGAAAATCGGCCTGTTTACTTTACGTGATGAACTTTGACCTGGAATATCTCAGCCCGACGACATACACTGATAGCATAGAAGAAAGAAAATCTGAGCTCCTTGCATTGTTGCCTTTTTCGGCAGGGCTTACAGAAAGCTATAATATTGCGATTAGTTATTACCCATGTTATTTAATATTAATATTTAATCTATTAATACTGGTTTAGAATAAATTTATGAAATACTTATAAAATTTTAATGCATTAAAATAATTTCATTAGTATCCGGAGAATGTATGTAAATAGTCTGGCAAATTTCAAAAAATATGAGTATAGAGATAACTGAAATGTCACTGTGACTACATAGAAAATAATAATAGATATTATACTAATTCATCTGACTATTAATAAGACAGCAAAAGGTATGATATTTCTTTGACTTTTTTTGGAAAGAATATGAAAGAGGTTGATATAAGTAGTGCTAGAATCTTGATTAAATCCGTCGTGAAGAGTTCGAATAATCCAATAAAGAGAAACCACGAGAGAATAAAAGAAGAAACGTACTCTTGAAAGAAAGAATAAAGTTGATACTTGGAAGAGGAAGAGTAAAATGATGTTGAAGTGTTCAAAGTACTGGTAAAGAGTTGGTTGTGGATGATGCTCCGAAATATTAATCTTTGAAAGAGAAACAACTTGAACTTCAAAACGAGAGATAATACAACCGAATTCATCTCATCATTCCTCAAATTAAATACTTAATTTTTCTGAAGTTTAACTAAAGAGACCGAAAAGAACGAGTAAATTTACGAAGTAAGTTTTAAGTTTATTTAATTTAGATAAATTTGTAAACGTTTCTAGATTAAAATGACTAGAAGAATACAGTTTGACAGATGATTGCTACGTTATATAATTACAGATTAAGAATTGTTCTCTTTAATTTAACTTTTTAAACAAAGGTCATTAGAACCATTTGAGTTTGTCCCTGGATAACCCAGATGTTATATATAACAGAGTTGTTTATTTATTTATTTATTTATTTACATATAAATTGACAAATAACTTCACATTTTAGCTAAAATCTCTGCATGTTTCCAAGCAAATTAATACTTCTGTAGTCGTTTTCTCCCTAACACGTGTATTGCTCGATTAAAAATTGCACTCGAGTTGGCCTATGATAGGTAATTTCATTGTGACGGTATTAAATGAATGTTTTTCCCCGTTGAGAAATCAGTTCTAACTTATACGTATTTTATTGATTTCAGAATTTAATTTAATCTTTAAAAATAATATATAATACGTGATTTTGTACTTTAGAATGTTTACGAATCTGCTACGAATCCGAAGTTTAGAAAAAGAAGAAATTGTTATTTCACAAGAATTATTCGATAAAGTCGTGACCAGGAATATGGAATTTATAATTGTATCTATAAGAAATTCAAGGCATATTCTATTACCATATCCAAGTCAGACCATCATAAATTTTGTCAAGTAAGTTTTCCAAATACTTCATCATAAATTTATTAATATATAGTGTTATAAATTTGTATTTTTTATATTATTAAAACAGCTACGTGGAAAGGGACGATCCCGAATTCACCTCTGTCACCCAGGCATTCGATCTGTATCGTTTAAGTAAAAAATTTCAGATAGAAAATTTACGGAGGAAATGCAGAATATATCTTATTAAAGAAATCTCACTGAATAATGTTTGCTCAATACACGACTTTGCCTGCGAAGTCAAAGATACAGACATAATTTATTATTGTTGGAAAGCTTTCGATAAATACGGAGAATACGTATTTAGAACACGGGACTTTTTGCTCTGTAAAAGTTCAACAATTAATACACTCGTATCTCGACCCATATGCGAATCTATTACCGAGATAAGCTTACTCTTAGGTGTATATCATTGGTGCGAAGAACGAGTAAAATACGAAACAGGTACAAAGGCTTATATTTTAATGAAAAAAGAAACTAAGAGACTGAAAATAAGAGATGTTTTTGAGCCATTTATTGAAAAAATCAGATTTCTTGCCATGAGTGTAAGTGAAAGGAAAATTTCCGGAATTATACTTAACTTCTTAACTAATACAGAAAAAGGACTACTTCGGTTTGCTTCCGAGACTCAAGATTATTCCAATTATCCGACTTACTTTAGTAAGGAAACACGAACCAGATGCGAAGAGAATTATTACGACTTGATTGATTATAATAATTATAATAATGAACATTTTACAAGAATATCCAACGAAAATAGAAAGCCAAAGTTGTATTTCAGCTGTGAGGTAATTTTGAGCGAAGATTCTTATCTCACCGAACTTCTCTTACCAATAAACCTCTCTCGCGACAGTGCCATAATGCAAGTATTTGGATATATTAAGACGTTGAAGAGCGATGTTCACTTCTTTTACACTGTTTGCAATCGGGAGGGAATCGCAAAACTGGAAAGGTGTTTTTATCTAAAAAAGGATATGTTGTTTCGTTTCATTGCTTTTTTTGTCGATATTGAAAACTTTCAGTCTACTGTTAATCCATTGTCTTTGAGATCAATCCTCTTTGAGAACGATGAAGAAACGGAAAAAATAATGTTCGAACAATTAAACATTAAAATTGACAAAAGCATTTACGATAATATTTCTTTCGAACTTAAATTTTATTTTTAAAAGAAAGATTTAAATGTTATTTTAAAAATCAAATTGTTTTGTTAAAGTTTTCAGTATTCGGCATTTATTTAAATTAATGAGAATTTATAATTGTTCTTTTTATCTTTTAGTGTTTCAATTCTTTCTATTTTTACTGTTTTCTTAGAAATAAATTTAACTATAAGTACAAAAAATTGTAGTTTTTTAAAATATTCCTCACAAGTCATATCTAGCATTACTTGAGGGTGCAACGTAAGCATTGAGAATGCGAGCAAAGTTCTCCTTAGAAAAACGCTGTTCCAGAGACATTATTAATGAACCTATGTACGGAATAATTAGTGATCTCCAAAACTCGCTAAGAGTCTGTGCTGATGAATTCGCACAATGTTTCTGATGATTTATGACTCGCGGCGTATTGAACTCTGTTTCAAGATGCTCGGCAATTGTTTCAGCCTCTGCTTTAGACCGAGGTCCGCGAGTACATTTTAAAAATACGTTTTTAACATTAGTGGAAAAATGCTCAAAAAATAGAATTTCAAAAAGCAATTTGTGCATAAAAATACTAAGCCTGTTCTTGTTAAATAATGCTTCCTCTACAAATCATTCATTAATTAATCATGTGAAAAAAAGCAAAATATGAACGACACGATGACTCAAAAATATGGAAACGACTTCAGTTGTCAAATGAGGTGAAAAAGAGCATGACAAGAAACACGTAATTGAAAAGATGGCTTACAGTAAAGCTGTACCAGCGCTGGAAAACGATGCATCGTCCACCAAAAAATTACTTTCGAGGTGATAGTGCGTTAAGGGGGTGCCCACTCAGTCGTGTTTTAATTTGAAACCAGTTCTCATTGTTAAAAAAAAACTTTTGTTCTTTACTCTACTTTCAAGTTCATTCTGGACCAGTTCCTCTATCTGGTAGGACGTTCTCGGCGTTTGGTAAGTGTCTTTTTTCTATGGTCCCATTCTACTGAGTTACTTGATGCATCTCTATTTTAATACAGGTGGTTACAATCTTATTACGAAATAATAATACTTAAACTAAATTTCCGTTAAAGCTAATATGGATTCTGACATATGCTAACATTCAGTCAACACTCAAAGATGATAGAGCATCGAGGGATTATTTAAAAAAGATATGACAAAAAGGAATTACTCATATAGATGTTGTTAAAAATTGTTTATAACAATCTCGTAATTTCGACACTGAATTAAAAAAGAAGGCGCTAGATAGTCTGGAAGCATTAGAGCAGCTGTGTAAGAGCAAAATTAGAAAAAAAAACGCCTCATGTATTCAATATATATGCTCAGAAATGAAAAAGTAAGAAACTTACTTGTTAAAAGCATAAATGGGAAATATTAAAACAGACTACGAGAAATAAGTTCATCTGTACTCAGACGTTGTGAAACTGAGAAAGTTCGAGCATATCTCAGACACACTATTAATCAATCGGAAAGAAGAGAAAGGTCGAAATTCAATGTCATAGCACCTAAAGTCGAATATTAATGTAACCGATTTTGGGGTAGACCTCGAGACTACCAGGAAAATCAGAAACAGATCTGTCATTCACTGTAACTTTCGAGTAGGAGCTAAGAAATTACAGCAAAAATTATATCGTCAAAATTGTAAAAATAGTGCAGATCAACAAACGATCAATCGATAAACAATAGTTATTGTAGAGTCGGTCGACCAATTCGTTTTGATTTATGTTCATTGACAACTGTATTATTAATTACTTTATGTTTTATTTTTTTTTTCTATCGGTTTATTTTTATTTTTTCATTTCGAATCAGTGCAGAAAGAACTACAAACAACGGTTAAGAACTATTCATTATAATCAATATAAAATCGAGAGTATTTTCCTATGAGACAAACACTAACAATGAATTCTAATTTTGTAACAGCGTAATGTATTTGAAAAGTATCTTTTCTCGTTGCATCGTTACCGTCTGTTAATAGTTTTTCGAATGCCATAACGATTTGCACATAATGTTCTCCAATGTGGCGATACTTTTATATTTTTGTGACCAATTGGTTTCACAGAGCATTCGGTATGCATTTTCGACGAAGGGCCGATTCTCGGAAAAATCTTATTATTTCTTTTATTTTTGGAGACCGTATTTCGCATTACTGCTATTTTGTTAAAGTTGTTTAAGAATTTTCTGGACACCGCCATCATTTCCTGCCATAGTGGAACACCCACCGTATCCTTGTTTGACGCGCTTTCTGGATCAAGACCTACTTTTTCTACAAAGTTGTTAATTGCAGATGCTGCAGATTTTGCATTC